AAATACTATATTACTTATAATTAGACTTTAATTCTATGACAGGAAATAAGGTGAGAGATTCTTACTCAAATTGATGTCTGCTGTACTACTGGCGGTCTCCGAGTTCCCTGAATTTTTCTTCAAAGATTAAAACACGCTTCAAGTACCTAGAAATACTCAAAAAAAATTCAAAATCAGTGTTAGAAACCCCTCTTGACTAATTTCAGAATTCTGTCATGGCGGCTCTCTGTGGTCCGGCAACGACACTGTCGCCCGCGACGACGGCGATTTACCTCGGGTTGGCCGTTTTCGGCCGATTTTATACATTTCCTTGCGATAAAACATGTTAAGGGGCCTTAGTTGGCCGAAAAAAGTCGAAAAACTGAAACTTACTAGTGGCGTAGTTTTTCGGTGCGGCGGTTCCTTCGGCTCACCTTCGTTGTTGGATAGTTTGCTTCAGTCAACCTCTAGAAAAAGGAATGGTGATTACAATGGTGAAAAAATTATACAAAACAAGAATCGAAAAGAGTCTCATCGGAGGCCGCTTTTGCTTTTTCCCACGGCAGCGCTGCCGAACTTTATCCGCAGTTTTCGGCTCATTCGTTAGTCTTTTTGCCCCGATTTGGCTATGGGGGTGTTCAAAATTGAATTTCGAGCACATTTTTTTTACGTCTTTTGGTAGTCGAAAGTGGTTCCAGCACGTCGGCGGGCGGCGATCGACTCCCTTTCCGGCAACTGGCTCTTCTTCTCCGGCGGGGGGGTCTGGCAGCTAGGGTTAGAGTTTGGTTTGAAGAAAAGTATTTATATCCGTCTTCTTTTAATATGGGTCATCCATCGCGTTTAATATGAATCGTCCGATCGCGTTTAAATAGGAAGTGAATCCGAACCATTCATCGCGATTTGATCTGAGCTGTCTGATCGTGTTTAAATAAGAAGTGGATATAAACCGTTCATTGTGACTATCCGATCGCATCTGAGGAGGGGACGAATCCGGACTGTCCACGCGTGCGAGAACAAATATGGACTGTTCGATCGCGGGCATGTGGATCGCCAGCGTGGCCTCCCGCGTGACACCGCGTCAGCGTGCCTTGCCAAGCGACGCGTTCCGATTCGTCGGGGCTAATGACTAGGCATCCTACGTGACATATTTTTCTTAAATTATATTTTGACCTCTTGTTTCTGATTTTTCTGTCAAAAATACTTCCATAATCCAAATTTTTACCATTTTCTCCCAAAATTATTTTCAATTTCATCCTCCACCTATTTTTTCCTTTATTTTACATTAAATAATAATTTATAAAATTAAAAATTTAATTTTATACATAAAATTTGAATATTACAAATTAATTTTGGGTATTATATCATATATATATAAATAAAAAGAAAGTGAGAAGATGAGAGAAGTGACACTTGGAGATTACATGAATGCACTTGAAAAATATGAATTGAAGTAGGTGTTTTCAATTTTTTAGCTCAAGAATTTTTTGATGGATATTGAAAAAGTCAAACTTAAAGTCTTTATAAATTTTATTCTTAAAGTTCTCCATATAAAAAATATTTTAAATATGATTTTTGAACTCTTTTAAAAAATTTTTGAAAAATTTGAGTTACATTGTAAAAAAAAGAATTTTAAGCCAAAATTTTATGAATTTTTATGTGAAAAATATTTTTAAAAAAAATTTGAGAAAAAAGAATTGAAAGAAATTTTGGATAAATAACTATTTTAAAATAATTGAACCATTAAGTCAAATGTCCAAACATGCGAGACTCATTGTGAGAAGGTATGTGACAATGTGAAACTTATTTTGAAGAAATATGTGACGATGTGAAGATCATATATGTATTAACATATATTTTATGATACACATTTTTATATATCATGCTGAATACTTTTAATATTTAAAAATATTTTTTTATGTTTCTAATAGTTAATTTAATTTTAATACTCTAAAAATATTTCAGATGATTTTTGATAAACTAAATTTGAATCTTGAAAAGAAAATATCATTTATTTTATCTTAAGTTTATAACTTAAAATATTTTTATACTTTATCTTGCTATCCTTATATGGAGACTTTAGAGTTTAAACTTGATTAATCATTTTAATTTTGTTCTTATTCTCTTTAAGCTTTAACTTCATTGAATAGATCATTTGAACTTTTACTCTTTCATATACTTGAAGCTTTGAAAAGATATTTAATTAAGAAAAATTTCTTATGAGCAAAACTCTTGAAAATCAAAAATTCCTTGAGGCAAATCTTGAAAAAAAAAAAATATTTTTATATCTTCTTAATCTCCAACTTGTAATTTTTCTTTTAATGGGAAAAAGGTTTGAATGTTTTGTTCTATATTCTTAATGGTTTTGTAGAAAGATGTGTTGGTAAAGATTGGGAGTTTAATATTTGAGAGAAACACTTAATTGTGAAGTTTAGCATCAAGATAAACAAACATTTGTAAGAGGTTGGTAAAACTAGACACCTAAAAAACAAACACTCATAAGAAAATGAAAAAATATATAAGTTGATGACTTGAGAGACGATATAAGTACATGTAAGTATGTAATTGAATCTTTATAAAAATCGAGTTCACAATTTCTCTACCTTTACCTCTTAAATTTACATAATTAATTTTTTTTTTTTACAACTTGGGAATTATTTTTTTTATTTGAAGTGATTAATTCGGTCTTGCGAATTTATCTTTTTATTCGTCAAATATACTTGGTATTATAGTTGCTCTTATTCTTGAATTTATTATCATAACATAAATTATATTTAATTGTTCATCTCATCACAAATTTAAGGACACTTAATTTGAGAGTTTAAATAACACTGAAGTAATTTTTCTCAAGCATCCATTACTTGTTAAGTTGGATTAGTTTTCTACATATCTTTATAATTCTCAATTTAAATTCACATTAATGACATTTTTTAAAAATCCAATTCACCACCTCTTGGATTGCCTAATTGTTTGTGTCAACATATTTTTTTTTAAAAAAAACATTATTTATACTAATTCTAATTTGGGGGAAAAAAAAAAGTACAAATACAAGATTAGACACCAATTTTTTCCTATTATAATCCAATATTTAATCAGAAAAAATTCAACTTTGATCCTTTATTTTAGACCTTTTCTTCTTTGCCCACTTCGATGTGGACTTCCTTGTTATTTATACACGGTGTAGTATCACTTCTCTGCCAGATTCAATTCAATTTTGTTTTCTCCTTGACAACTTTTCCTGGAGTTCACTTCTAACCAGGGCAGAAAATAAGTTCACCAACATAGTTGTTCATTGCAGTCCATACTCCAGAGATGCATTAGAATTTAATTAAATGCTTGAACTGACCTCTGCAAGGCAAAGCAATCTATTCTTTGTTAAAATTTGGCAAACTCTGGAACATCACAAGAGGAATTACCATGTATAAGAAGCCACCACAAAGATAAATCTTTTTCCATCTGCCGGCAGATGCCATACATGCTGCTTACTGTTATCCTGAAAATTTGCAAAACAACTCTTCCAAAGGCTCGAGGAACTTTGAAATATTTGATGCCTGTAAAATCAAATTACTAGCAGAACAGACAAGCACAAAAGAGTTCTTGGAAATTTGGTATTCTACAGAGTCACTCCTAATGATTAGTTAGGCATCGGACAGCAAAGAATCTCCACGTTCTAGTATAATAAGCACTCAAAATGCAATCAACATTCATTCTCCACAACAAAATCTGCTTTTCTGCTTTAAACGTTATGTCAATCCTTTCACTGAATAGATTCACGCATTCAAGGATAATCCGGAATTGATTTGCCTTTTCTACCTGCATTCCTGATTTCCTCTTGAAACCTGATTTCTACACATGAATGCTTCTCAAGAGATATTATTACAGCTGAAAGCTAGTGGTCCACCACATCAGCAATAATGTTATCATCATCATCATTGAGCGGTGAAAACAAAGCACAACATCTAACTTCACCACCTAAGAACAACTAGCTCTAGGAGAACCTAATTTTTCCTGATATAGCTTTGACAAATGAGGAGTTTCATCCTCATACCGAATTACAAACTTCTTAAGAAACTCTTTTTCAGGGGACTCAAAAAATGAAATCACATTAAAGCCTTTCTGGATCAAACCTTTGGATGATAAAACCTCAAAAACTGAATACCGCGGAACAATTCTCTTCTCGAAGCTCAAAGAGAGAAGAAAGGGACGCTTGGCTAAAAATGAAGACTCCACACCCATCTTATTCACATAAAAATCCACAGTTCTCTTAATATTATCTGCAGATAGCATCATACACTGTGGGATCCTCCCAAAAGCTAAAGCAACCTCTTTGTCAGACCAACCCAAATCCCTATAAAGGTTCCATTTACTATCCCATGTTGATCTGCTCATCTGAGTCAATGCTTGGACAGCTGAAACAAAGGTAGCTTTCGAAGGGTCAAAGCCCATTTCCTTCACTTTTTCGACAACCTTTCTGAATACATCCTGCCGTCTTCTGAAAAATTCAGGCCGGGAAACCAGTAGATCCTGGATATTCAGTTGCGGAACCCCATGTTCTCTCAGAAGTGCAATAACAGGCTCAACTGACTGAAAATTCTCATAAAGAATGCCCGGATGACGCTTAGAAGCTTGGATAATTTTATCATTGTAATGAATCAATTTCTTGTAGAAGTTAAAATTGCGAATGATACAGGCATTTAAACTTCTTTTCAAGATAATAGGGTCCCTTGACAATATTCTAGCAAGGTCAGTGCGTGAGAAACCTTGAGAATAAAAGAAGTTTAACTTGGGCAAGAGTGTCTTCCCGGGCTTACACAACAGCACACTCGGGAGTTTTCTTACTAAATTTGAGATTTGAGTTTGGGAGAATCCATGCTTTTTAAAAAAGCTGATAACTAAATCCGGCTTATCTGGGGTTTCAAAATGAACTTTCTTGGAAGCTAACAATGCAGATGCAGGTGATAAACCACATGAGTTAACAAGATAAGATACCGTAAAAGAGTCCTGATTTACATTGCTTGAAATGAATTTAACAGGGACGCGAGTTAATTCATAAATCTTTGAAGCTGCAAGTGCACATCTCACTTGAAGTAGCATCTTACTACTAATTAAAACCAATCATTTGAGTCATGCTTTTTGAAATTAAGAAAAACACTCCTCCTATTTCGCAATACTTCGATTTACACATTAACTTGAGGAGGATCAAACAAGTATTCAGGAAACAACCTACACTGACTAACACAAACTGATTTTCCCAGCTTTTCCGGCAACAAATCAAAATTTATTTACATGAAGTTTTTGAGATTTGAAGCAGAGCAACTTACGAATCTTGAGGACACGCCGTGGGCTCCGCTCCGCGAACTAAAGAGGTACTCACGGTCTCGTAGATTCTAACCGTTAAGAAACCCTAGGTAAAACTGTGAAGTTAGACGCATTCTTAATATTATTACAGAACATCGCCTCTATCATTTGGGAAGATGCTTTGAGAGGAAGATTTAGGTTTTCAAATTTAATCCAACTTTTTTTTTTGCTAGAAATTTAATAAATTAATAAAAAAAGATTGACGATTACACCATGTTTTTTTCTATATATATAAACCAAATTTAGAACCACATTAATCCTTGAGCTTAATAAATACTAATAAATCTATAGATTTATAATCAGAATAGATAATTAACATAATAATAAATTAAATTTTAAATTTTATTTAATTAAATAATATATGATAATTATTATTAAATTTATAATACATTCATAAAATAATAAAATTTTATATTTTCAATAAAATTAAACTTTATTAATTATTTATATATCTTTTTATTTAAATCCTTGTATTTAAAAAAAAGTTGGTTTATAGATAATCTTAAATATTTATTTTATTATCTTTTAAAATGTTTATTAAATAATCCAATTTAAGCAAAAATAAATAAACAAACAAATAATTACATGCACTTTTTTTTTTCTTTTTTTTTTTACATTAAGTGGGAATATTTAATTTTTTAACATGTTTAATTATTTTTAATCTTTAGGGTTTTTTTTTTTTGGTTATAAACTACACTACTTACTTTTTTATAATAAATATTTTATCCATTATTATTTTTTTTTCAAAACAAACGGTTGAACATGCAAGTAATTGAATATTTAGTTCTCTCATCTCTAATTATTAAATCATAATTATTTAATATATAAGAATTAGTTATAATTTATATAATCAATATATGAGAAAGTTAAATTTACTCATATCTTCAGTTCTACAAATCATACATTTTTTATTAATATTTTAATTTTACTCTATAAACATATATATTTCAATTAAAATTAGGAAAATCAAGAATTTTTAATTTTACTATTAGTCTAATACATATTCTACAATACTAGTTGTTATAATTAGAAAGAATTTTGAATAATTTTAAAAGAAAAAATAATAAAGAAAGAAACAACAACACGATTCCGAGAAGTAATTCAACTGCACTTCTTATTCTTACACAAACTGCTAGTAGTATTACAAATTCAACTCTATATGAACATCATCAACCTCCACTATCAAAATCAAATCCCATTTGCAGTTAGAGAATTACAGGGCTTCTACCATTTACAAAGACAGATTACAGGGCTTCTACCATTTACAAAGACAGATTACAGGGCTTCTACCATTTACAAAGACAGGTTACCAGCCACCTGCAAAACCCAACAGAACAAAAAAGAAAACAAATAGATGCTATAATAATGGATTGATAAATAATCATCATAACCATCCATGCAATACGAAAAAGCTTCAAACATCGAGCTGTGAAATTGTCCAACAGAAACATGTTCTCAAGTGAAATTGAAGTTTTATCCCCATACACAATCTTTAACAAAATTCTGCAGCATCATCAAAAATTTGGTTCCGGTCTCTCCCATACTTACGATATGCTTTATAAAAATGCTCAAGCTCTTCCTTGCTCCACTGCGGTCCTAACATATCCGACAATTTTCTCTTCTGCGTGCATTAAAAAAATAATTAACATGTTAGAATAATTCCTTCCAAAACCAACTTTGCATGCATCTGACTGAATGAAAACTCAATGCAATATCCAAAATTCTCTGTTTGATAACCTTATTGGCATATATCACAGATTAACATGGAACCGTTGAACAAAAGCATTCATGTCATTTAATATTTCTGGACTGGCAAGACACTTTCATGGAACAATAACTTAATAGTTATATTTAGATTGTAGTGATTTTTTTATAGTAACTTAGATTATAGTGACTATACCCTTTCAAAGATGAATTTACTAAAAATCAACAGCAAGGTTCAGAAAGGGAAATGAAAAAGTAAGGGAGAAGAAAAAATTTTGACAAAAAAAGCACAACTGTTGGGAATTTAGAAGACCTGTACAGCAACAAAATATAAAACAGAAGTGAAAGTAGAAGAAATAATGATTGCAGTAATTCCAGTAAGCAAAAATATCAATGAAGGGCGAGAATCAATTTAAGAAATCCTTAGAATTGTTGTATATTTTTTCAGAACTGAAGGTGTCTGTTATATAGGCTTTCTTACAACTGACAGAGGTAAAAAATCTCAACCATACTCAGCAATTAGCAACCCACATGTAACAGGCATTATCTCAAACAAGTAGTAAAACAACATCATCTGAAAATGCTAAAAGTCAGGGACACAACTAACCAACACAGCAACATAGTCTAAAAATCAAAAAACAAAATAAATTTTGAATTATACCTTCAACAACAACTAGGGTGAAAAGAATTTATTGGTAGGTTTTAAGATATCGTTTTGTTCAGTTATATGTTCCTTGACAAAATCTTGCATGACTCACTCAACTGTAGCTTTTTCCGTACTTAACTAATTTTAATTTTCTATGCGAAAGGTAAAGAAAAAAGTTAGCAATCTTGTTTCCATGTGGTAGCTGCAAATTTGCTTAACTGGCGAAGTAACTTGTGAATTGTGATGCACTATCATTGGGATCAAACTCTACCAACAATAGAAGGGAGACATCACCTCCCATTGCATAAACCACAGCCTAACAGGTCCACTATGAACTAAAGACAAAAGAATACAAAATGGTGCTGCCTCGTGGTAGAAATAGCTACTTCCAATAGGTTTTATATAAAGGACTTTACAGTATATGTTGATCGAATGAATGTTGGAGATTTCTTAGAGAGATTTTATACGGGGAGTATTAATATAAATTTATTATATAATCTGAATAACATAAATGATGTAAATAGATACATTCTCTAAATTTATGCAAAAATATATTCTTAAATAGGTCGCAGAACAGTGTAATAACCATTGGCACTTCGCTATTGGATACAAATACATATCCAAAATTGTAACATGATCCATATAATAAATGAATACACAGTTTTGCAGTTTACCAGTTACATTATATGATTGCAAAGGAACTCAAAAATTTTCAAGCATCATTGTCAACCATACCACATTTTTTTGGACACTATTATTTTCTTCACCTCACTTTGGGCTAAACATGTCTTTCAAGGGATCCCTTTATCTATTCCGCATAGGGATTTAGATCTCTATCAAAAAAATATAACATGTATAGCATATGGGTTGATCTGCTAACCTCGTTGACTACACCTATATCAAGGCCTAAATGTTGAAGCGAATGCAAGCAATATTTTTACGTTTATATAGGGGATTTGATCGTACAGATCACATAAACTGGATACATACACCTGAATTGTGTAAAATCGTCTTATCAAGAGAAGCTACATTATCTCTTTGCTTTGGTTATAGCTCAAACCATGATTACAAAAAATCTGGAACAGTTACAATCTTTCTGTTCTTTCCTTCTTTGTCTCATCATGATTAATTAAGCCACAAAAACATATTCCACATTCCAACTTCGGAGATAGCAAACTTCCAAAACCCGAAGATTAATATCAATTCACCCAATCAAGCTAAAATTTAGCGCTAGAGATAACATTGTCAATTGTTTTGTCAATGACAGTAAGTCCCATAATGTAGTTAAATTTTCTTCTCATCCTGTTTTCTAGATCTGCGGATGATAAGTTATGATGTTATTCAAAGCCAAAATTCACAGGAGTTTCTTGGGCTTAAGATGTTCTCATAAGTTCCTTTCTTTAGTTTACCAAGTAGGTGAGTCAGTCTGAGGTGCTAATGGGCATCTCTAAACACCCTGCTAGCCATAGATAGAATCATATTGGAAAATGGGAAAAGTAGTGGTGGATTTTTTGCTGACAAGTGTAAACTACATATTTACACAACAAAAATGGGAGAGCTTGTTCAGTTAAGAGATGACTGACTCTCTAGATGATTGACAAGCGTTTCTATTCCAAGATACTAAGTATTCTGTTCTCTAGATGATTGATAAGCATTTCTATTTCAAGATACTAAGTACTCTGCAGTTAGTAGACGAATATCTTCATGACTGCAAACAATTAGAGATTTTATAATCTCTATTAAACCATAAAAAAAAATGCTAAATCAAACCCCTTTAAGCCTATCAAAACAAACAAATTCTGAAGCAAAAGAAACTCCACCCAGAAAGAACTATATCTAGCACTGTATAGGAAAACCCATTTCCAAAGACACTACTTGGCTCACCATGTGAAACTAAGCCCAAAGAGAAGAACTCAAGATAACAAGTTAAATCGCGATGAGAATTACTGCTTAAAGTTTGAGGAATTCCTCTTTCAAAAAAAGCTTGAGAAATCAGATAATTATGCCTAAGATGAAGCATTAAAAGCTAGAAATATTTCATTTGCTAAAATAAGTTAACCAAAGTTCTTATCTGAAATCTGAACAATAACATCACTCACCTGCTGCCTACTTTTGCCGGCATTTTCTCCATCTTTACTTGAAGCAACCTCATTAACATAGGAAAATTTTTATTCACATTACTAGATTTCTTTGAATGTGAGTTACTAAATTTTCTGGAATCTGACAAACGAAAAAATAAGAATTAGCAAATCAATTCCCTCAACGAGATTCAAGCCTAGAAATGTTAACAGAAACCCCAAAAATGTCTACTCAGTTGCTTTCTCATTAGACTACTTTTCTCCTCTCCCAATCTCCCAAATGTTAAAAGTCATTTAATACGTAAAAATCATAATGTAACTATGGATGATAATACAGATATTACCAGCAATACCAACAAAAGGATGAGCTTCTAACCTTCTGTGTAATACCCAGATCCAAAATTTGTCCCGAAATCAATTTTAACATTTCAAAATATATAAAAATTTATTTTTAAATTAATTTATTTTAATTTTTGTTGAATTTATGGAAAAAATAGGTTATGGATGAAATCGAAAATAATTTTGAAAAAAATTGGTAAAAATTTTGGTTCGGGGAGTGTTTTTAAAAGAAAGATTAGACACAGAGAGTCATAGTGCAAATAGAAAAAATTATGCAATGTAAAACCGCCCATTCAGCAACCTCGACGAGCTGGAGCACGCCGCGTGACGAGGCATGCTGACATCGGTGTCACGTGGGATGCCACGCGGCCGATCCGCGTCCTTCGCTATCGAACGACACAGGATCGAGCTCGCGCGCGTGAACGGCCCGGATTTGTTCCCTTTTTAAATGTGATCGGACGGTCAAGATCAAATTACGATGGACGGTTCACATTCATTTTCTCCTTAAACGCGATCGGACAGTCGATATCAAATCGCGATGGACGGTTCAGATTCATTTTCTCTTTAGACGCGATAGACAGCTCAAATCGAAATTTGATTCCGAGCAACCCCATGGCCAAATCGGAGCAAAAAGGTCGGCGGGTGAGTCGGAAACCATGGGCGAAGTCCGGCAGAGCCGCCACGACCAAAGTCCCAAACCCCTCCGATGAGCCCCTTCCCGATTCTTGTTTCACGTGAGTTTTTGATCATTGTATTCACCATCCTTTTCTGTATAGGTTAGCTGAAGAAAGAACTTCAGCCGTGAAGGAGAACCAGCGGACCGCCGCACCTGAAGGTGCCCTCACGCTGGTAAGTTCGGTTTTCTGTGGTTTTCCAACCAACCGAGTCCCCGAACGTGTTTTTCTGCAGGGATACAGCCAAAACCGTCCAAAAACTAGCCAAAACTGGCCAAAATCGGGTAGACCGAGGCGAATTGCCGCTGTGGCTGGCAAAACCGACGCCGGAGCACAGCAGCGCCACCATGCCAGAACCCCAAAATTGGCCAGAATGAGTTTTAGATATTGATTTTGGATTTCTATGGTATTTTTAGATACATGACAAGTGTTTTGGATTCTGCAGGGATAATTCAAGAAACCTAATACCCGTTAAGAAGCGTAGTAGATAGCATGACGTTCTGAAACACCGATTCAGATAAGGATCCCTCACCCTTTTCTCCGTTACAATAAATTGAGATTTAATAATCGATAATTGTGTGTTTCTATGAAAAATTATAGAACTCTAAAAATAATTACGAGACACTTGTGGAGCCGGAACCGGTTAGTTCACGATCGTTTCGATTTCCTATTTATTTTCTTATCTTACCTATATTCATTTACCATTATACTATGCGTAACTGAATTGATAGTTTTTATGATCTTTTTGGTTATTTGATTATTTAGTTCCCCTATATTTTTTGTCGATATTCCGGTTTTTGGTTATTTAACTATATTAAACTATATTGTTTGTTTAAGTGAACTGTGAGTACAAAATGAACTATTGGTATTGCGTGATTGATTGTTATGCTGATGGAAATCTGTATGGGAAACACTTACTAGGTATTCGGGAAATGGCAGATTGGCCCGGCACATAGGGAACTCTACTGTGAACGTTACCTCAGTCGGATAGGGCTGGAAAGTTCTTTACCAATAAGGCTTGGGAGATATAGTTCACCTTCAAACCGGACGGGATATCGAGGTGGTGGAATGTTTGATGCCCATTACCGAACGGGGTATGAGGACGACCAGTTAATTGTTTAATTGGATATTTGGTTCACAAGTAGGAGGACATCCCTATGAATCTCTAAAGGTACCGGTGAGCGGGTAAAAATGAAATGTGATCACTTCTTGTTAACTTATATGTAAAAATAAAAAGTGTATGAATATGGGTCTTCATAAATTATTTTTGAAAAAAAACTTGTTACGTAAATATGGAATAAATGGTTTTCTTTATACTAAATGAATTTACATTAAATTAAGGGCTCTATTGGTTATTTTTCTAATTTTTACCAATCTTCAGTTTTCCATATATGTTATTAATGTGATATTCTTACTGCACTAGTATAACTCATCATTTCATTAACTATTTCAGATTAAGAGAACTAAGATTCAGATTCCGATCAACAAGAGAACTGCGAATAGTTCACCACCCGAACTCTCTTCAAGTGCTAGTGAAGATTATCCTAATGTTTAGTTATTTATTTTTCGTTTATTTTTTTAATTTTCGTTTATTTTTTAAAATGGACATTTTTATAATTTTATTGGACATTCTAAATTATTGTGTAACAAATGTAAACCCTAACTTTATTATTTTGCTTCTGCATTTAATTTATGACTTTATTTTCATTTAAGTTCTGAACCTTTACATTCTGAATCAAATCTAGAACCATTTGCGAAAGTGTTAACTCCACAACCACCAACCACCCACCAAAGAAAAAGGAAAGAAAGAGAAGAAGAAGAAGAAGAAACTGATGGCATGGAGGATAAAGCCAAGAACTAAAATATCGTGAAGAGATTAACGCTTAACCCCCAAAATATATCATGAAGAGAAACATAAAATGAACAATATATAAGAACGATCAAATCAAAACAACCAAATGAACTTAATTTCCTTCATTCATATACCATATTCTAGCAACTCCCAGTCAAAAAGAAAGAGAGAGCAAAGTGAAAATCAAAATGTACACTAATGTATTAAAATGTAGCTGCATTATTTCAATGTTTGATCATTTCCAGAGCAACAGTAAAACAAAAGAAATGAAGTTTGTTCATGAGTTTAACCTTCAAATAGGAGAATCCATCTTCTCCCTATAAACCTTAAGTAGTTCAGGAGCTTCATCATAAGAGTAAACAAATCTCTGCAGGAAATCTTTTTCGGTTAACTCTAGATAGGTGAGACCACAAGGATGTTTCTTCTTAATCATCCCTTTAGACATCAAAAATTGAACAACTGCAACCCGAGGAATGATCCTGTTCTTCAAGCTCAATGAAACAATAACAGGCCGCTTGATGATTTCTGAATATCCAAACCCCATTTCATTCACAACAAACTCCATTACCGCCATGATCTTGTTCTCGGATGCAACCATAAACCATGGAAATCTACCAAATGCTGACAAAATCTCCTCCTCTGACAAACCCCACTTCATATACAACTTAAACTTTCTTTTCCACTGAATCTTACTCACCGCACTCAATGCAACAATCGCCAGAACAAACTGTGCTTTCAAAGGACTAATCCCCATTTCCTTCACCATCTCTACAGTTTCTTTGAACTTATCAAAACTACCTTTACCAGTTTCAACTCGAAAACGTAGAAATAAGAGAATCTTATATGTAGGAACGCCATTATGTCTCAAGACATCAACACGAGGTGCAACGTAAGCCTTAAAACCATGACAAAGAATATGTGGGAAGCGTTTAACAGCAGCAATGACTTCCTCGGTAGAGTGAAGCAAATCTATAATCAAGTCAAAATACGGGATTATTTGATCCTTTAACTTTCTACGGAATAGAGTAGGGTTAGAAGCGAAAATATGCGCAATATCAACAACTGAAAAGCCTTTAGATTGAAGAAATTGGACCTTGGACAAAAGATTATCAGGATTGCAAGTTAAGACTGCTGGGCATTTCTTGATGAGGTTCATGATTTGGCTTTTTGAGAAGCCATGATTGGTGAGGAAGATAAGGACAGAGTCGGGCTTATCAGGGGTTTTAAAATTGATGTACTTTGAAGCTGAAATAGCAGATCTTAAAGAGAATTGACATGAATTCACGAGATAAAAGACTGTAAAAGAGTTTTGATTTGTCTCAGTTGATACGAATTTGATTGGTGCTAATAAGATTGAGGAATTGTTTTGAAGAAATTGAAAATGTTGTCGATGCATCAGTATGGAGCGAGACAAGGGTATGAAACAATATTTGACATGGTGGAGAATAGTGGTCTTACAGAAAAAACTAGGCATGGAGTGTTATGAACTCAAGCAATGAAACAGAGGCTGTTATAACTTAAAGCAGAGTGAATGGATTTTAGGCTGGAATCTCACATTAACTTGAATTCAGAATCTGAGCTCCTTAAATAACTTTTCTAGTGGTAAAAAAACATTAAAATAGGATAATGGTCCACTAATTACTCAAATATCTTAAAAAACCCAAAAAGTCTGCACCTTTTAAGCAACAAACTACTGCATGTTGATAGGTCTCAGTCAAAGCTAACCGGCAAAATAAGGCAAAGATTCTACTTTGGGCGAGGATTAGCCACTGTCTAGAGAAAATAATTTGATCTCCTTTTATTCCAGAATTGCAGTCTTTAAATGCAGAAAAATGAAGCAACGTTCTTCCTACTTCTAAGGAACATATATGGACAAAAATAAAAAAGAAAATGATAAGGGGAAATTGCAGCTACTGCAAAAGTGGGGAGTTGATGACCGAGTCTTCTGTCGCGTGCATACTTGACTCATTCTCGGTTGAGGTAGCGGGAATTCTTTCTTGATATCCTGCTGGTCCTTCGGGGCTTATCACATATGCTAAAGATTAGGACAACTGAAAAATAACATTCAACATGGAGGTCAGATTCAAAGTGAAGCAGGGAACTTTCACAAACGAAAGGCAACTCCTGCTACTGAGAAAAAAAATATTTTGTTCTAATACATGCATTAATTTTAATAAAAGGAAAAATACTTAATTTATTAATAATATTAATTTAAATGAGCTTTTGAAAGAATATTTGTAATAAAGCTTGAATATCTCTTTAGATATAGACGAAAGAAATAATACATGGAGATTACATGGATGCATTTGGAAGAAATAAAACTGAAGATGTAAACCTCTAAATGAAATTCAAAAAACGAAATCAGCAACTCATCAAACTCGATTCAAAATTTTCTCAGTCACCGAATATATGGCAATCACTTTTAAAATTTTTTTTTAAAAAAAAAAGCTTCAAAAATTTCCTTTTTGCACGCCTGATTGAAGGAAATAGCAAACAGATGCAGATATACACGCACGTTTATGCAGAGAACAAACCAGAGATCACTACAAGCAAAATGTGCGTGCTTGCCAATCAAATCCTGTGACACTTTATGGCCATTGAGAGAGAAAATGAACGCGAAAGAGATCGAACAGAGGAAACTAACCAGCAAGTGATGCGACTGCGAACTTTGTTCGGCGATTGGTGACTGACGATCACTGAAGATGGAGGAGATAATGCAGATGATGGGATAAATTTGGGGATATACACGAAAACTCTAAAATAATAAATCAAAATAAGAACGGAAATCCCGAATTGGGTCATCGTGTGTTTATAGCACCTTCAGTAAACGGTGGATCTACAGCTTGGTTTTTACCGTACACGTGGCATCATACTTCAATCTGAGCCGTTGGTACTTCCAACTAGGAGAGAGCTTTTGGTAAATTTCAAACGTAACAAGGAAGATTTAATTACGAAAATACACGGTAAAATATTATGTATAATTGGTAAAATTCTATTTGTGTTAGGACTTGGAGATGTTACCGAAACCAAACTGCGTCGTTTTGCTTTCACCTTTTGGTAATATGTATTAAAAATTGTTTTTTTCAAATTATTTTTTGCCTAGATTATTTATGTTTAGTTAATAACTTTTTTTAAACAGTATTCAATAAATAATAAATAATTATTTGTTTATTAAGTTTAAGTAAAACAAATACATTTGCTACTGTGCAACTAAGAAGTTAGTATTATTATTTCATTTAAATATCTAACATTTTTAATCACGTTCAACTAAATATTTTTTTAATAATTAAACACTATAGATTTTTCTACAACATGACATTAATTATATCATCAACTAATTTAAGTTTAATACTAAAACTACATTAAAATAAATTTTTTTTTATTTTGTTGTACTTAAAACTAAAAATTTTACACAACCAACACAAATTGTTGAATATAAAAATTAAATAAATTTAAATAATGGATTTTTAATTTTCTTATTTATCATAAGTAAATGGATTAGTTTGATTAAATTATTTACTATTTGTAAATACAAATGAATAATTTATCTATTAACAATAAAATTAACAGTATTAATTGAATAGTTAAATGAATCATTTGATTTGATCTTTATTAAACAAATTACGTAAACCAATGATGGTTAGATGAACAATAAAAGTTTAATTTATGACAAATGGTCGTTATTTGGATTTACCATTATTTAATTTCATGACATGACTTGAAGAGATCACAATTGCATTAATCATCCCTCTAGTTTTTTGCGTATGAAGTCTTCGAATGAAGGCTTGAATTCTTGTTAACAGGTTAAACTAATTAATGCTCCTCCACCTAAATCCTATCAAATTTCATCAACTCATCTGTAATACTCGAATTTAAAATTTGGTTCAAAATAATTATTTTTATTTTAAAAAATATATTTTTTAAAAGTAATTTTATTAATTTTAATTTTATTTTATTGAATTTTTTTAAAAAATAAATTATAGATAAAATTGAAAATAACTTTGAAAAAAATTAGTGAAATTTTGAGTTCGATGAGTTTCTTTGAAAGAAAATTAGAAATAGAGAGTTAAAATATAAAAAGAGAAAATTCGATCATGTAGAACAGCGTAGTCAGTAGCCACAGCAAAATAGAGCACGTTGCGTGGAAAAACACGCTGACATCAGGCCACACGAGAGGTCACGTGGGCAATCCGCTTGGCCAGCGATCCGATGGTCCAGATTTAATCATGCGCTACGAACGCTTCATATGCATTTTCTTTTTAGGTGGCATCGGACGACGAAATCAATCGCGATGAACAGTTCAGATTCGTTCACGCGATCGAACGACTCTCCTCACTCCATGTCGACGCGGACGGACAGCCCAAATCGACACAGAATGAGTATTTAAATATCGCGTCTCAGGGAACCTCACCTTAGTTGCACTTGCCCTTGCTGGAAAAGAGGACTAAACCCAGCCACCGCCGACCGCAAAAAAAAGTAAAAAAATTTTATTCCCACTCGAAATTCGATTTCGAGTCTCCCTGTGGTCATATCATAGCAAAAGGGACGACGAGTGAGTCAAAAATCACGGGTAAAATCTGGTGGAGCCGCAACGGCAGAAACCCTAAAATCCCTCTGATGAGCCCCTTCTCATTTTTCGTTTCACATACTTTTTTAACCATTGTATTCACTGTCTTTTTTTGTGTAGGTTAGTCGAAGAAAAAACTCTAGCCGTAAAGGAGAACTGGCGGAGCTACTATACCCGGAGACCCCCTGTCGGTAGATTCGGTTTCTTTTGATTTTTTTTGTCAACTGAGACCTTTTAATGTGTTTTTTTGCAAGGATACGTGTAAAATTGGCCAAAACCGGCCTAAATTGGTCGAGTCAAGGCGAACCACCGCTGTGGGTGGCGGAGCCGGCGCCGGAGCATGGCGGTGTTGCTATGCCGAAACCTTAAAATTGGCCGGAAAGAGTTTTCAACACCGATTTTAGATTTTTAAGGTATTTTTAGATACGTGACGAGTATTTTAATTCCCGTATAAAAAATTCAAGAAACCAGGAACCCGTTAGGAGGTGTAGTAAATAGCACGACATTTCAAAATACCGGTCTAGATAAGGATCTCTCACCCTATCATCTGTTATAATAAATTGAGTATTAATAATTGATAATTATGTATTTTATAAAAAAATTTAGAAAAATCCTAAAAATATTAGAAGTCACTAGTAGAGGCAGAACTGGTTAGTTCATATTTGTCCTAATTCCCTGTTTATTTTTCTGTACTGCCTAAATTGCTTACTATTATATTGTGCATGTTTAAATTGATAGTTTTTATGGTCTTCTCGATTATTTGATTTATTTAGTTCCTCCTGAATTGTTTATTTGGTTATCTGGTTATCTGGTTACTTGATTATTGGTTATGATGAACTATATCGCTTGCTTAAATGTTGTTTAAATTGATTAGTGAATATAAAATGAGACGTTGGTATACTTTAGTAGTTGTTTGGATGATGAAAATCTAAATAAATGAGAGCTTATTTGGCATCGGGTGGACGGACCCTGTACATAGAGAACCCTGTAATACCTGGGTTCGAAATTTGGTCCGGGATTAATGTTAAATTTTTTAAAAAATGTATAAAAATATAATTTTGAAATTAATAAACTTTTATTTAATGTGAAATTAGGGGAAAAAAATAGGTTGATGATGAAATTGAAAATAATTTTGGGAAAAATTGGTGAAAAATTTGGGTTTGGATGGTGTTTTTTTAAAAAAATCGGTAACTGAGGGTTAAAACATAATTAAAAAAATTACACCACGTAGGACCGCTCAGTCAGCAGCCCCGACGAAGAAAAGCACGCCGAGTGGCAAGACACACTGACTCGGTGGCATGCGAGAGGCCACACTGGCAATTAGCGTACCCGTGATCGGACGGTCCGGATACGTTCCCACGCGTGTGAAGGGTCCAGATCCGTTTCCTCCTCAGTCGCGATCGGACGGTTGTGATTAAACATGATGAGTGGTCTAAATTCGTTTTTTCTCTTTAAATGTGATTGGATGATCGAGATCAAATACGATGAATGCCTCATATTTAAGCGAGACGGGTATAAATATATTGCATCACACTGAACCAAAACCCTAGCCGCTAGCCTCCCGCTGGAGAAGAAGAACCACTTGTTGGACAAGGGAGCCGACCGTTGCCTGCCGTTACGTCGAAGCCACCTCCAACTGCCAATAAAGGTAAAAATTCTCCTATCCGCTCAAAATTTGATTATGAGCACTCCTATGGCCAAACTGGAATAGAAGGAAAGGTGCATGAGCAAAAAATCGAGGGTAAAACCCAGTGGCGTCGCTGGAGGGAAAATCTAAAACTGCATCCGATGAACCCCTTACTGTTTTTCATTTCGTATGATTTTTTTACCATTGTGTTCACCGTTCTATTTTCTACAGGTTGACCAAAGAACAATATTCAACTGCAAAGGTGAGCCAGCATAGCCGCCACACCAAAAAATCCCGCAGCCGATAAGTTTTTGTTTTTTGATTTTTTCGGCCAACCGAGACTCCTTAACGTATTTTCTCACATGAATAAGTATAAATCCGGCGAAAACTTGTCAAAAACAGCCGGCAAGGTAAACCACTTTGTGGGCAGCTGTGCCATCACCGGAGCACGGTGGTGCCGCCGTGCTGGAATTCTGAAATTGGCAAAAAAAGATTTTTAACACTAATTTTGGATTTTTTAGGTACGTAAAGTGTGTTTTAATTTTTGCAGAAAAATTCAGGAAACCCGAAGATCACTAATAAGTGCAGTAGAAAGTTCAGTATTTCGAACACCGAATCGGGTAAGAATCTCTTACCTTATTCTCTGCTATGGAATTGAATCTTAATAATCAATAATATGGTATTTTGTGTAAATTAGAAAAGTTTGAGAATAATTACAGGTTACCAATAGAGACAGAAACAATTAGTCATTTATTTGTTGTCTTATTTAACTGATTGTTGAATTTATAACTTTAAATACATGATGATATACTGAAATAGTTAAATGATTGAATTGTGTTTCCTTGATATATTGCTTATCTTACGTGATTTACGGTTGATTTGTGAAATTAGTAATTAATATGCAAATGAAATTTTTTTTGGTTATGTGAATTAATGAATGTTAGTCTTACTGGATATTCTGGGAGATGGAGGACATAATGGTACATAAGAAACCCTACCGTGAACGTAGTCTCATACTGGACAGGGTATCGAGGAATGATATTTTTGGCGCTTATACCGAATGGGGTATGGGGACGGTCCGATTTACCCTCATACCGGACGGGGTATTAAGGGATGATATTTTTGATGCTCATATCGGACAAGGTATGGGGATGGCTGGTTTGTTGACAATTTTAGATATGAGTTCACGCGTAGTGGAACATCCCTATAGGCCCCCAGGGATACCAGTAGGCAAATAAAAATGGAAATTTATTGTTGTTGCTCAATTGAATATGAGGTTAGAATGTTGTTTGAGTTATTACCTCTATAGGTCAATTTTGGAAATTGTGCAATTTAAATATATGCAATAAACGATTTTCCTTATAATAAATGAATTTACTTAAATCAAGAGCTCTATTGGTTATTTTTATGATTTTTACCAACTTTCAGTTTCTGTATCAGTGAGTAGTGTAATATTCTTACTAGGCTAGTGTAGCTCACTCTTTCATTAACTATTTTAGATCAAGAGGACCAAGATCCAGATCTCGATCATCAAGAGGATTGTGAATAGTTCACCACTCGAACTCCCTTCAAAAACTAGTG